TCTTAAAATTAGAGAATGTGGTCTAAAGAAATAATGATTGAGATTACTTTTGGCAAATTTAAAATTTATAGGTGTCTAAAGGCGTATATCTTCGAATTCATCTATTTATTTAATAAATTTAGATTTTAGGGTGGATTTTTAATAATGTGTGAACTTTTGAACGGTGTTTCTATAATTTTTGAGATATTGAGGGTGTTAATTAATAATTTAAATTGTAAATGTTAAAAAATTAGGGTATCATCGGTAACTCTCTTGAATTCATCGCTGTGTTGTTTGTAAGTTTAAAATTTAGAATTTAATGTGGCTTCGTCTGTATTAAACTTTTGAGGGTGGGTTTCTATAATTTTTGAGACATTGAGTGTATAATGTAAATTTTAAATCTTTGCAAACTGGATGTAATTTTGTAATTTCATGTTTTTTTTATTTAAATTTTGAGACATTTGGATGAGTTTATAATTTTGAACTTTTCAGGGTTCTTTTCTGTAATTTTAAAACTTTTTTATGGTTTTTACTAATAATTCATGGTGAATTAGTATATATGTTATCTACGTTGTTAATTTCTTTATCTTAACAAAAACCCTAAATAATAATCATTTTTTATGTTTTATATAATTTTCATTAATATTAGTTTTTAAATTGGTTAAGCAAACAATGGTTCTACATAGGCATTATTATAAGATATGATTATAATTAAAATAGATTTAAGAATATAAATCAATATTCAAATAGTGAAGGGGTAAATATGACGCATTAAAAATTAGAATTCTGATTATAGATACAGGTAGTTCAAAACTTAGAAAGGGTATATGTCTACAAAAAGATTTTCCCGAACTCGTGCTTTAAAAGGGAGTATGATATATGTATAGCATAGAAACCAAAACAGATATATGTATACTGTATATATATATACATTGGAAACGAAGAAGTCAAATGCGTATATATAGAATATATATATAATATATAATAATATATTATATAGTATTATATATATATATAATATAATATATATATATATATATATATATATATATATATATATATATATATATATATATATATATATATATATATATATATATATATATATATATATATATATATATATATATATATATATATATATATATATATATATATATATATATTAAAATTTCTAATTTAGGGATTTACTATCCATTTTCAGCATCTAAGAATAGTCTAAGTTGATACTGGTAAACAAAAACAATAAGAATTGATTAAAAACATCCGGTTAATGGATAAAATTTTTAAAAATATTATAGATTAAAAATTATCGGCACTATATAAATTAAAGTAATTTCATATAATTTTAGTAATAAGTTGGGGTAGCCAAAATACATTCGTAACATTAATTGATAGATGTTTAAATCCATAGAAATGATAAAACACTATAATATTATACCTTAGCATTAATTGATTTTAATTTAGAAACTTTAATCTTTGACGTTAATAATATTTATAGGGTAAAAGAATACAAGGAATTACATATGGAGAAACTATTAGAATATTTAGAGATAACTTTAAAAGAATTGAGTTATTTCCATTGCAAATGGGAAAGTGATGGAAATAAATCTAAAATTCAGAAAACGTCAATGAATCACTTGAATTGGCATTAACATAAGACATATCTATTAATGAAGCACTGAATGAGTTACATTAAAAAATAATTTAATAACTTTATTCTAATCAAAGAAAAAATCTCCATGGAAGACATAAGAAAAATTAGTAAGTATTCATAAATTCCATACTGTGTTCTTCAAATTAAATATTAATATTATAATCTAAGAGAAATTGGTAATGAATAATGCAGGTATTTAGTTTAGATCTTTATGGAAAATTACAGGGATAGAGCAAAGATAATATTATTAAAATAACAGAAATTCTTATTGGATGCACATCAGAAGAATTTATTTTAGAGGAAAATAAAGAGATAGCTTCTAATTTATTTAAGTAATAAATTAGGAACACAAAGAATTTTATATATATGAAATTAATATTTATTCTCATTGAAATAGAAAAAAAATCAAAGTCTATATTTTGAGCAGTTTGTGTTGAACATCATAAGTACATTTGACTTCTTTGTAAAGTTAAATGAGATGATAAAAAATTAACGAGCCTAGGAAAGATAATAGCATAAAAAATACAAAATTAGCCTGATGTCACAATTGATGTAGATGATGAAGACAATACTCTAGAATTGTCCGAGAAATGATAAATGATAAACCTGAAGAAGGATTGATCTTAACTCAATAAAAAATAAAATAGAAGAAATAAAAACAATATTTTATGAATATTTTATAGAATAGTTTAATTATTTTGAGTGAAATTAGGAATCTTTAGAAGGGAGTTTCATGAATTTTTTTCAGTACTTTTATATTCTTATGTGGATGTTTTTATCATATAAAAGTATACTAGAGTTAGCATTAATCTTTAATTTATATTTTTTTATGAAGTCTATCAATGATTAGGAATAAACTTCATATTCTCTTTTGCATCGTTTTAACATACTTTAAATCAATCATTTTGCCATATTGGTTTTAAATATTCACCTTCCTTGTATAACACTATTTTAATATTTTTCACTTTGCAATGCTATACTTTCTCAAATAAAGCTTAGTTTCATATCGGTCAAAAATAATATAAAAATTTAAATTATTTTTAAATTATATTTGTTTTTTGTCAATTCAAATATCAACATGAAAATTTAAATTGGGTGTATCCCATTTAAACAAATATAAAAAAATAATCGGGATGTAAGAGTTTAAAGAAAAAAAAATGAGCACAAACTGTCAAAAATACTTAATCATGGTATTAAATCACGTGCATTGCACGTGTGTAAAAACTAGTAGTTATATATATACATATATGTTTAGCTACATAGATATGAAAGAACAAACAAAATTATTCACATTTTTATTTGTTTCATATTCTATTATGTTTAAGAATATATTGCATAGAATATGCAATTTTGTGAAAATATTGTTTTCTTAGTTTATGGACTTAATAACAATCATATACATCTTTTATTAAGTCTATATAATCATTTTGTAATGTTTTAAAATATGATTAAGCTAAAATGTCAAAATTCATATGTTTACATTTTCATGTTTTAGACTATTTTGCAAAATGATGATATTTTACAAATGGGAAATGTAATTTGTAAAATTCCTTTTGTAACATGTTCATTTACATGTTTATATACATTTCCCAAAGTTTTATTATTTTTGGACATCATTTGTTATTTTTAACAAATTTTTAAAAGTCAGAAAAATACTTTCAAAACTGTCAATTTTCATATATCTGTTTGCGATCGACCGTCACAGTCGACCGCCTTGAGTCCAGAGACTCATGATAGTTTTCAGAGGCTCCCCGGCCATCGGATGCAGTCCGGAGAGTTTTGCGGTCGACCGCCACGGTCGACCGGCTGATGTCCAGAGCCAAAGCTCTGTTTCTGACCTGCTCGCGGTCGACCGCGCATTTCCTACGGTCGACCGCCGATCTGTCATTCAGTCTCCAACGACTAGTTTCCAGAGTCGTTTTTGAGCTGATTTTTTTGTCTTTTCTTGGCTTTCTCTTGATTTTGGGGTTTCATATAAATACCCCATTATACCTCAGTTTTAGAGGTAATCTAAGAAATATTTTAAACAAGTTT